AAAAAGCCAATTAGCCAGGCATGGTGGCAGGCACCTGTAATCCCAGCTTCTGGGGAGGCTGAGGCAGGAGAATCACTTGAACTTGGGAGGCGGAGGTTGCAGTGAGCCGAGATCATGCCATTGCACTCCAGCCTGGGCAACAAGAGGGAAACTGTCTCAAAAAAGAAAAAAGTTGGGTCATCCACTGGCGCCCTCTAGTGTCAAGGGTTGCAGTCACAGGTTGGGTTTGCCCAAGCCTGGAAGCCTGGTTGTTGACAGTGGCTTGGTTCTCTCCTGCCCTCTGCTCTAACCGGGTCCTTTTTCTCCTTTCCCGGGTCTTTTTCTCCTTTCCCAGCCTGAAAGTCATTCTTCCTGATGAGGAGAAGAAGAAATGGGTGAGAAGCAACAGGGCCCGTACCCTCTGAGCACAGTATCTGCCCTGCCAGCCTCTCCCGTGTTCTCTGGGTTCTAAAGAAAGAACCCCGCCCTTTGCTGGCTTTTTTTTTTTTTTTTGGTTTGAACTCATTTTGAGCTCCACCCCTTCTGATGCTGCTCTTTTCTTCCTTGATTATTTCAGCTTCCACATTTCATTTCAACAGCACTAGTCATGGTAGCTGCGTATTCTTATCTTCAGTGTAGTACTGTTGAGCATTTACGTGCCTAGCACTCTGCCAGGCACCCTGTGAGTCACGGGACAGGCACATCTCTCCTTAAAGAATTTATATTCTTGTCAGGGAAATAAGGCTTCAGAGAAGAAAAACAATCGGGAGAAGTACCGAATTCCTTCTTCTCTGCCTGCCTCCATTGCCTCCCTCCTCCTAGTTGAGATGATTGGGTCAGAGCCAACTCTTCCTGGGCTTGGGAAGAGGAGATGGGGCTCGAGCTGCTGCCGCACCCCTCACAACCTCAGAGACTGCATTGAGACTCTCCTGCTTAACCTCCCCTCGCAGAGTAGAATGAACCGGCCCTGGAGCAAGGAAGGGTATGACCCAGGCTCTGCCATTGCCGCCTGCATGACTGGGGGCGAGCCACTGCGTCCCTCTGGCCTGGAGTCTCTGTCAGAGGCTGTCAGTCCCTCTCTGTGCGACCTGCAGCAGGTGGCATCATGAAGCCGCCATTTGGGAGCAGGAGGGCATGGGAGCAGCACAGAAGCTTCCCCTGCAGTGTCAGGCGCTGAACCTCAGGTGGACGGCCGGGACCCAGGCCTGGGCCTGTCAGTAGAGGCCTGAAGACAAACTGAGCGAGTCTTCTCCAGGTGGCTCGGGTGAGCTGGTGCCTGCCAAGGGCAACCACCCTCACCCTCCCTGCCGTGACTCGGGGTATCTGCCTGCTCTACCTTGGGCAGCAGCAAAACCTTCTCCCTTGCAAGTGGGGGCTCTGGGCTTCTGCCGACTGGGCTCGTTATGGTCTGAAACTGAAGTCATTTTGTTTCAGTTCCCAGGCTGCAAAAGTGACCTTGTCACACCTGCAGCTGGCTCCATGGCGGGAACAACAGGCCCTGTGCAGACCATGGAGGTGGGCTGTGCTGTCCGCCATTCTCAGAAAACTCTGGCTCTCTCTGACTTAGAATGCTTCTGTATTTTCAGATGGAGAAAGATGAAACTGTGAGCGACTGCTCCCCACACATAGCCAACATTGGGCGCCTGGTAGAGGTGAGTGGCCTGGGCTCTCTGGGCTCCTGTGTTGACCCAAGGTGGTGACGCTGCACCCCCGGAGCCACTGTGCTGGCCGCTGCCTCTGCCGCTTTGTCCTAGCTCCGCAGCAGCCGGCAGAGCGGGCCTCGGATTTTCAGAGCCTCTGATTTGGATGCCAGCAGGCTTCCGGACCACCTCCTGCTCCACCCCCCAAACCTGAGCTCCCAGAAGACTCTGCTCAGGCACCGGTGCTGGGGCACGCTAGGTCTTGTCTGCCCTGATCACTGGGGTGTGAATGGGCCCTGCACTGAGAGAGGAAGCAGGTCCCAGGAACACCAGTGGGCCCTGGCACAGCTTCAGTTTCGGCTGCCTCGGCCCTCCTGTCACCACGTTGTTTTAGAAGGAGGGGCGGTGCTCTCCGTTCTCACAGAATTGCTCACAAAATTAGTGGGGAGCCCGAGGGGTGATGATGTGGTTTAGACCAGCTCCCAGGCATGGGCAGAGTTGGCCGCCAATACCTGGGTATTGGCTTCCTCCCTGCCTGAGGACAGGAAGGCACCTGGAGCACAGATGGCAGGTGGGGTCTTGGCAGCGTGGAGGGCACTCACCTGTGCCCCAGGGCAGGCCTGTGCCGCCCTCCAGTGGCCACAGCGGGGACTGCAGGGCTGGCAGGCCGAGGGAGGGCATGGGCCCGGGGTTCCTGACCATTTTGCCACATCCCTTCCAGGACATGGAAAATAAAATCAGAAGTACACTGAACGAGATCTACTTTGGAAAAACAAAGGATATTGTCAACGGGCTGAGGTAATGTACCAGAAAGCACAAGCTTTAGAAGCAGAAAGAGGGATTTGAATCCTGGCTCTGCCAGTCCTAGCTATGTGGCCCTGGGCCCGGGTTTCCTCGTTTGTAGCCCGCAGCACCCCTCTTCTAGGATCGTTTTGCTGATCTGGGGAAGTAAAGTACTGGTGTGTCATCTGCACCCTCAGTAGCAGCTATCGGTCCCTACCTGCACTGTTGGTTTTCTGGGGCACATTCACCCTAATGGCCATTGGTGCCCTCGCCCCAGAGCCTCCTCAGGCCTGCAGTTTGTTAGTCCCCATGCAAGAATGTGCCCAGCCTCTCCAGCCTGGGCCTGGGGGAGCCACGAGACCACAACCCGGGCAGCCTGGCTGCCTCTGACGGGCCTGCTCCCTGAGACAGCAGAGTGCAATATGTAGGCAGGGCCTCAGCCTGGGCCTTCTCAGGGACCCCGGCCTCTCTGATGTCCTCTGCCAGTGCTCTGCTGGCAGTGGCCAGTGTTCTCCACCGTCCCACCCACCTGGTACCCTCGGCTCTGCAGTGTCAGCCTGAACAAAGGCCGGGGCTCTCTGGATCCTCCAGGTCCATGGTGGGCAGAGCCAGAGGCAGGCCTCTTGCATGAGGATGGAGCCCAGTGGGGGCAGTAAAGATGGCTGTGGAGTGAGCACTGGCCTTGGAGTCAGGAGGCCGGGATCTCCCCTAAGCTCTGTCATCCTGAGCTGCGTAGCCTCTGGCACGCCACGAAGAGGCCCTTGTCCGATGGAGGAGGCAGGGTCAGCTGAGGTGATGAATCTGGAGCACGCTCTGCAGTCGCACAGCACCTTGTGAGTCCGGGCTGTGCTGCGCCCTTGGCGCCCAGCCCTCTCACCCACTGCCATGGCAGAGATCTCACAGCCCAGCCCAGAGGAGAGGCAGGATACCGCTCTGGGGCGGCCCTGGCTCGTGGATTGGGGTGGGCGACAGCTTTCAGTCGCCTGCTCCACAGTTTTAAAACAGAGGCGGCGTCCTCCTTGGGCCAATGTCTTCCTGATCTCCTACCCACCTCAGGGAGGCTTGGTCTTCATGACATGTGGTGGGGTCAGAGCCCTGTGGTTCCAGGCGTCAGGACGGCCACCTGCAGCCACTGCCCATCCACACCAAACACACTTTCCCTCCTGGCCAACCTGCACAGTCCCCAGGCAGTGGCCGGGAAGTGGGGGAGACAAGCGGAAGAGCCGGCAGGGTGGTGGTAGCAAGCCCCTGAAACCATGACCACTGCCCACGGCGATGCCACTGCACAGCCCGAAGCCGCGGAGGCACCCCCCTTCCGCCTCGTGGGTCTCCCTGAATTTCCTCCTCAGCTGTGGCCCCCTGCGTTCCCTGCGTTCTCATCGTTCTCTTCCCGCCCGCCCCACTCATCTTGAACACTCTCTGTAGATCTGTTGATGCTATCCCTGACAACCAAAAGTTTAAGCAGTTGCAGAGGGAGCTCTCTCAAGTGCTGACCCAGCGCCAGATCTACATCCAGCCTGATAATTAAGCCGATCCAGGTACCCTGCCTGAGAGCCGCGAGACCCTCCCCACTAAACAGGACTCACCAACCCGCCGAGACCCTGCTGGTCCAGCTGCTGCTGCTGCGCAGCCATTTAAACCACCACTAACCCCCACGTGTGCCCCTGGCCGGTGAGCAGCCGCATTCCTGTGGAGCCTCGGCCCCATGTGACACAGCACCTATCACGTGTGTGTTCTTTGCACTCTGGGCAGAGGCTGGGTGTGGGGGAGACAGCTGATTATTTGGCTTTTGCGTCTGAAGAAGCCCAGGCAGAGGGATGGCTGCTGCCTCTCCAGCAGCAGCCACTTGTGGGTACAGGCCTGACTGTCCCCAGTGGGGGTCTGCCTGCCCGCCACCCCCCATGCTTAAGAGGAGCCTCTGACGCTGGTGCAGGGGTCTCAGAAGCCAAATAAGCCCCTTGCTCGGCAGCGCATTGGCTGTCTGGGGCTAGCTGACTTGGAAGGGGTGACCTCGCCCTCTGCTCTAAGTCTCTGGGGTTGGAGGGCAGAGTCAGGGCTGGACTCCACCCTGGCCGGCCCCGACGCACTGCTGGAGCTGCCTGGACGCCCAGAGCCGATGCAGCCAGGACCAGCATAACCTTCCGCCCTAACGAGCTGCAGCTGTTCCTTTAAACAGGTTACGCTGATGGAAAGGAAAATAGTCTTGCTTGTTGGTAATGGCCAAGAACCATGACTTGAGCTTGTGACAGATCCAGATGCAGGGAAGGAGGCAGCATCCCTGGAGAGCAGGAGGGAACCTTGTTTGTAAAAAGAAGGCATTTGGAATCCTGCTGGCTGGGGCTGCAGAGCCCAGGTCCAGGGGCTCCGCACTGAAGGCCCACCCCAGAGCGGGTGCAGCGGGCTTTCAAAAGCAGAGGTGGGGTCAGGCATTTAGAAAACCAGGCGAAGCTGCTTTCCCAAGCCGTGGGACTTAAGTGCACCAGCCTGGTCTGTGTGTACCAGCTTAAGGTCCAAGACTCCGGTCAGCCTCGTGGTGGGGCCATCAGACATTTCCATCATGGCATGGAGAAAAAGACCCTTTTTAAAGTACACGGTGATGGTGCAGTTTCCTGGCCGCCCACTGGGGGCGTCCTGGCATAGAAACCCTGGCAACCAGGTCTGCTTAGGACCGCTCCTCCCTCCCACAGAGTCCAGCACTGTCTCCAAGCGCTGATTCAAGGTTGCTTGGCCGTGACCTTCCCAAGCTCTGCCCCTTAAATGAGCCCCCTGCTCCTTCCGCCCTCTACCATTTCACTTCTAACTTCCTATGTCTAACTTGATTCTGGCTCTGGAATTTTCTCCTTTGTGGGGTCCAGCCAAGACCTGGCGTGCTCGGCTCTTCCTTCCCAGAAGAGCCGGTGACCACCCAGGTGCAGGGTCCCGTGCGCTGCTGCTTTACCCTCGCATCTCCTGCTGGCCGTGTTGACCTCCTGCTGAGAGCTTGGCAAGAAGCCCTTGGGGGATTGGCTGAGATTTGGAGCCTGAGGGCCATGGGGGCTGATGCTTTGGCCGCCAGAGCTAGGGATAGTCCTGGGCAGATATTTAGAAACATGTATTTCCCCAGCATGAACCAAAATTTCTGCATTTCCCATGGGAGTTCTTTCGGTTGTATGCAGCCTACTTCCAGGTCTTGTCTCTGGCATCTGCTGAGTGTTTTGAGGGCTCTTCTTGTGGCTTTTAGAGATTCGGTAGCCAGAACGCAGTCCAGGGTGCTGTTGCTTCTCCCGGGCCCTGCTTCACTTCCCTTGACCCATTTTTGCCTTTGGGGATTGATTTTTCTGACGATTCCTTCCCATGGCTAGTATGAGTCAAACATGAGAGTCCGGCGGAGCGCACCCTCCGTAGCACTCCCCCTGAGCAGCCCTCCACCCGCTTTTTCCACTGCTTCTCAACTGACACAAAACCAGTCCTTGCCTCACCAATATGTTGGGTAAATTTGACAAAATGATCAGAGAATTGCTAGGGGGGGTGTTTTTCTGAGCCTCACTTTCCTCATCTGGAAATTGGGTTAATGGCTTTTTTTTTAAGCCTTGACTTTGTTCTGTTGTTGTTGTTGTTGTAGAGACAGGGTCTCACTCTGTTGCCCAGGCTGGTCTCGAACTCCTGGCCTTAAACGATCCTCCCTCCTTGGCCTCCCAGAGTGCTGGGATTACAGACTTGAACCACCACATCCGTCCAGGTCAATAGTTGAGACTCTCCCAGGAAGCCCATGATAATTAAATGAGATAATATATGTGAAAGGCCTTTTGTAAGCTGTTAAATCGCCACACACCTTCATTGTTTCTGGCTTTATTGATGAGGGTCCCCACACGTAGTTGAAGGCAGTCGCCTTGAACACCTCCACAAATCCAGGATTTGACAGCAGGGATCCCAGCAGCCCTGGGCTCTCCTGTGCCGCCCTTTGCAGTCCAGGCTGAGGGTTTTTCTGGGCCAAGTGAACAGTGGATGGTGCCTCACAGCAGAAGCCTGAAAGCCCCTGCTGCCTGGGCCATGGACGCAGTGTGCTCAGACACGCAGAGACGCTGGTTCTTACCCACTCCCAGGGGTGGGCTCACGCTGCACCTTGCACTTGGGGGGTAAGGAATTTTCTTCTGGGCAGGGCTGGGGCAAGGGGGAAGCTTTTACAGAGAAACCTGCATGGCCTCAGAGTCCTCGCCTCTTAGCCCCTGGCCTGAGTCCCCAGCCAGCAACCCGGGGTGGCAGTTCTGAAGCAGAGGGGCTTTGTTCCATTGTGCTTGGAAGCCCGGAAGCCACCTTGTGGCTTAGGGACATGGGGGCCTACACACAGAGGAATGAACTTAGAGTTCTAGTGATTATGGCTGGGTCCCCGGAGGCCAGGGGCAGAGATGAGCACCTGTCCCTGTAGGCTGTATGCCCCCCAACAGGGCCTGGCAAGGTGCAGAGGGTGCAGGTCTCGGCCATGTGCCCCTTTGCCCCTCTCTGAGGGGGCAGACGCCCAGCCCAGTGGCCCAGAGCCTCACCCCCAGAGGTGGGTCCACGCAGCACATCAGCCAGGCACCGGCATGGCGGCCCCCAGGCCCCTGCTGCCTCACGCATCCCTGTTGAGTCTCATGATAACGCCTTTCCTCCCATGCAGGTCTGTGCAGACTTTTGCAGACAAATCAAAACAAGAAGCTCTGAAGAATGACCTGGTGGAGGCTTTGAAGAGAAAGCAGCAATGCTAAACCTCTGCTTCACGCTAACCAGACGCCGTGCACTCGTTAGAGTCCTTTCTTAGAAAACTTGTTTTCTGCTCCCTCCCCTCGTCCCTTCCCTCCCCACAGGTCACATAACAGCTGCATCATTGACCGCACAGCGCCATCTCTCCCTGAGAATAAAGCCCCATAGCCACCCTCCTCCGGCTCCGAGCCTGCTTCCGCCACACCTTGCTCTCAGCTCTCTCCACATTTCCATAGAGACCGTGTGGTTTTTGTTCACCCGGGGACCCCGTCTTCCTCCCTGTCCCCACATTTATAGGCATAAAATCCACTGTCTGCCAGCCTCCCTTCCCTCCCACCTTTTTGTTACATTGGTGTAAAAATTGTAAAACAAAAAAATTTTATGAACTAACTGTGGTGTGTGAAAGAGAGAAGAAAAACTGGAAATCTGATTCCGTGTGTGTTTGGGAGTTGCTTGGGGTTGGGGGTCATGGGGAGAGGGGACAGCTCTGGGAGCAGAGGTGGCCCGCGGTGCCGTCCTGCGCAGACTCGCCCATCCCACAGAGGCTGCGGGGTGGGGGCTGGGGGGGGGCGCCGACCGTTCCGCTCTTCCAGCCAGGTGCTTTTCTGTCAATTTCTATGGAATGCAAAAGGAGGTTTTTGTTTTATTTTGTTTTTTTGTAAAGCTTAAGAAAAAAAAAATCTACATCTTATACTTGAGCCTCCATACTTTAAAAAAAGAAAAAAAGAAAAAAAATCAATAAAAAGAAACTGGGACGCAGTTAGCTCTGGCCTTCTGTGTTCCTTCTCGCCGGCCTCACTTTCCAAGCACGTGTGGCTGGCCGTGCGCTGGCTCCAAGCGGGGACACGTGTGGGCCCCGCTCACGGCAGCAGAGGAGGCATCCAGACCCCGGCCCCACCACCCTGAGGACACACCGAGTATGTGATTAGGTGCAAGGTCCCCATCCCTTTCTGCTCTCGCCCTTGGAGGGCAGGGGCACCAGCAAATACCGTGTGCTAGCACTGCCCCACACACCTCCCCATGCATCTCCTGCCACCTTCCCACAGTGCATTGTGCAGATGTGAGGCAGCAGAGGCCACACACAGCCGTGGAGTCTCTGCCTTCTCTCCTCCAAGCTTCCCCAGGGAGGATCCAAAGCAGATCTAAGAGTCCTTGCTGAGACAGCCCCCATCCGTCTGTGGCCAGTCAGCGGGCTCCACACCCTGGCCAGCTCACCTATCCGAGGTCCCCGGCTCCTGAGTCTGATGCAGCATTTTTATGGAGTGCAAGTGCCATGGGAGACAGCAGAGAAGCCCCTGTCCCCTGGGTTCCTAGTGTCAGGTGGAGAACGCAGGCATGCTCCAGCCATGGGCCATTGTGGGGGGACACCCAGTGAGCCATTCCTCACGGGCACACAGATGCTGTGCTCCAGCCATGGGTCATGATAGCAGAGCGCCTGGCACACAGAAGGGGCTAGAAAAACAAACTGTGCTTTTCATTTTCTTTCATGGTAAGGTTTATCCAGGACCACTGAGGTAGGTACAGGGCCACCGCAGTGGGATCTTGCGGATGGAGAGAGAGACGGCTCAACTCCGAGGCAGCAGCACGGGCAAGTGGGGATTAGAGCTCGGGCTGGGAGGGGCAGTGGGTGGACAGTGACCAAGAGGAAACCTCAGGGGTCAGGGGCCTTCTGGCCAAACCCACCTAACAAGATTCTCACTGAAGACGATAGGGTGACCAGACGTCACCTGGGGGCGGGGATGGAGGATGAACCCAGGCGAGGTGGCTCACACCTACAATCCCAGCACTTTGGGAGGCCAGGTTGGGAGGATGGCTTGAGCCCAGGAGCTCAAGACTAGCTGGGGCAACGTAGACCCCATCTCTTCAAAAATTAGCCAGGCGTCATGGTATGCGCCTGTGGTCCCAGCTACTTGGGAGGCTGAGTTGGGAGGATCACTTGAGCCTGGGAGGTCGAGGCTGCAGTGAGCCAAGATTGTGCCACTGTACCCCAGCCTGGGAGACAGTGAGATCCTGTCTCAAAAAAAGAAAAAAAAAAAAAAAAAACGGATGGACCTTCTTGTAAAATTGACTTGGCAAGGGATTGCTGAAGCAGGGTTTGACAAGGGCACGTGGGCCTGGGGGAAGGTTCAGGAGCCTGACCCAAGTTTGGCCAAGCAAATAGTCTTTGTCAGTTATCACTTCAAGAAGGTGAATCCCAGGCACGGTGGCTCACGCCTGTAATCCCAATACTTTGGGAGACCAAGGTAGGCGATCACCTGAGGTCAGGAGTTCAAGACCAGCCCGGCCAATGTGGTGACACAACGTCTCTACTAAAAATGCAAAGTTAGCCAGGCGTGGTGGCGGGCGCCTGTAATCCCAGCTGTTCTGGAGGCTAAGGCAGGAGAATTGCTTGAACCCGGAAGGTGGAAGTTGTAGTGAGCCAAGATCATGCCATTGCTCTTCTGCCTGGGGAACAAAAGTGAGACTTCGTCTCAAAAAAAAAAAGGAAAAATTGGACAAATGGAAAATGCCTTTCCTTGGACACATCAGAGGAACTGAGGTTGCAAGGGAAACAGCTACCCTGAAGTCAGTGAGACGGGCACACCCAGCACGACACAGAGAGGCCTCCTCTCCTGGAGCAGAGGCTGCTAGGCCGGGAGCTGCTGTGCACACCAGCGGTAATTCCACAGAACTGCGGAGGTGGAGTGGACTGCCTGATCTGAGAGTGACCCGTGGAGGCTCAGGCCCATTCTCAGGGGATTTCCTTTCAGGAAACTCACCAGCAGCTCCTTGAGCCATCACTTTCATCAGCCAAACAATCCTGTGACCACAAATACTGCTTGAAACCCAGAAATTGTGACTGTGATTTATGTCAGTCCTGATTTGCTCTGCTATCATCTAGAATCTTCCACAGGGACCCTTACTACTAGTTGTTTTTCATTGTTTTTGTTTTTGTTTTTGTTTTTTTGTTTTCATTTTTTGTAGCGATGGGGTCTCACCCTGTTGCCCAGGCTGGTCTCAAACTCCTAGCTTCAAGTGATGCCTCCAGCTCAGGCTCCCAAATATTGCTGGGATTACAGGTGTAAGCCACCATGCCCAGCCCTCACTGCTAGTGTTTTGTTTTGTTTAGTTTTGTGATGGAGTCTTGCTCTGTCACGTAGGCTACAGTGCAGTGGCGTTATCTCAGCTTACTGTAACCTCCACCTCCCAGGTTCAAGCAATTCTCCTGCCCCAGTCTTCTGAGTAGCTGGGACTGTAGGTGCCCGCCACCACACCTAAATTTTGTATTTTCAGTAGAGACAAGGTTTCACCATGTTGGCCAGGCTGGTCTTGAATGCGGGTAACTCCCATTCTGGGCACCGAGGAAAGAGAGCTAAGCAGACCCCTGGCACAATTAGTGCCTGAAAAATATCTTACTGCTCATTTATTTGCTTTTATATATAATCTCTTCATAGATAATCATATCTTAGTTTATAGTCGGAGGAATGTCTAGAGCAGACACATTGCAGAGCAGAGCCTGGCCAACATGGTGAAACACCGTCTCTACTAAAAATACAAAAATTAGCTGGGTGTGGTGGTGGGTACCTGTAATCCCAGCTACACTGGAAGCTGAGGCAGGAGAATCACTTGAACCCAGGAGGCAGAGGTTGCAGTGAGCTGAGATGGCACCACTGCCCTCCAGCCTGGGCAGCAGAGCAAGACCCCCGTCTCAAGAAAAAAAGAACTCTCCCATCGCAGAGTGGGCTGTGAAGACACGGGGAGATCTTGCACACCGAAGGCAGGCGGCACAGGCCGGCCCACACACAGCAAGTGTGCAACCAACAGCTGCATGCCAGAGGGCACGCTGTGCTCCGTGGGTGTCCCCTAGGATGGGGCAGGGGAGACTGGGCCTCCCTGCCCACCTGGGTCTCAGAGGTGTGCCTTCCCTCCTCTCTCCAGCAAAAGGCTCTTCCCCTGAACAAACCCCGTCACCTGCTGCTGGGCTGCTGCTGGGTATGCCCCAGGACCCTGTCCTTGTCCTGAGCAGTGGTGTGGCTTTCAAGGTTCCTTGGAAGCAGCCCAGACACCAACCTCCAGGCCTCCATACCTGCCCCTCCCTTTTCCTGAATTGCCCTCCCCTCTGCCTTCAAGATCCAGCTCAAAGGCCACTCCTCTGAGAAGTCTTCCCTGATTGACGCTCCAGGGGCTGGTCTCATCTTCTCATTCCCTGACCCTTTCTACCTTCCGGTCACAGTAACCATCTCCTCTCCTGGAAGGCAGGGCCTTGGAGCTGGTTCCCCACAGCGCAGGTGTCTGATAGCAAAGGCCGGTGGAGGGCTACGCTTACTGAGCATCTGCAGCACCAGAATGGCCGTGACGCTGTTTCCCTTCTCTGGGGCTGGGAAGGGAGATTCTAAAGGCAAGGCTTACTCTGGGACGCAGCTTCTCTCCCCAAGTCTACCCCGCCGGATGGCCACAAAGTCCCTGGTTCTGGTTTTCCAGAGCGAGGGTTGGGCATGTGGGGTGAGATCAGACCAGCACGGTGGAGAGCTGGCACCTCTGTGCTCCGGGCGCCTGAGGTCCATGGCCCCAGGGAAAGTGGAATCAGAACAGGGTCCGGAGCCAGGTGTGGTGGTGCACACCTGTAGTCCCAGCTTCTCGGGAGGCGTAGGAAGAATCCCTGGAACCTAGGAGTTTGAGGCTGCAGTGAGCTATGATCACACCACTGCACTCCAGCCTGGGCTAAAAAAATTTTTTTTAAAAAAGAACAGGTCTGGAAACACTAGTTTTGGAGTCCAGGAAGCACTCAGGGCTCAGTCCTGAGAGGCCCTCCTCTCCACTCTCCCGCCTTGCTCCTATACCTGCCACTTCTTCCTACTGCCTTCAATCCTGTCTTCCCCTTTGATATCTCCCGCTCATCCTTCTGAGTTGTCACCTCCTCCAGGAGGCTCTCCCTGATCTCCAGGGAGATCTGGTTATGCTCCTCTTCTCCAACTAAAAAATCATCAAAATTAACGTTTACTGAGCCCTTACTATGTGGCAGATTTGGGGCTAAACTCCATAATGTCAGCATTTTATGTGATTCTTGAAAGGACACAGGAAGTGGCAGTACTGTCCCATTTCACAGATGAGGAATCCTAGGTACTGAAGAACTGCAAGGCAGAACCCAGATCTCACGGAACCTCAGCCCTTCTGCTTCTTCCTGAGTACCGAGGGGCAGGCCCCCCATGGGGTGACATTCTCGATGCTGTGTCCCCACAGTGAGGTGTGGGGCCTGTCAGGAGAGGGGACCGAGAAGCAGGCTAAAGAAACCAGACGCCCCAGGAGGCTGTGCCAGGGCTGCAGGCAGATGTGGTCCCATGTGCTCGGCTTGTCCTGGATCCCCACGCACTGCTGGTCCCCAAAGCAGCCCCGACCCATGAGCTCCTTGGGGAAGAGGCAACAGAAGCAGGCCTCACAGAGAGGTACCATTTACTCAGTTGTATTTTTATTATTTTGAGACTGAGTCTGGCTCTGTCACCTAGCTGGAGTGTAGCGGCTGATCTCAGCTCACTGCAACCTCCATCTCCCCGATTCAAGCAATTCTCTTGTCTCAGCCTCTCAGGTGGCTGGGGCTACAGGTGCATGCCACCACTCCTGGCTAAGTTTTGTATTTTTAGTAGAGACGGGGTTTCACCATGTTGGCCAGGCTGCTCTTGAACTCCTGACCTTGTGATCCACCCACCTAGGCCTCCCAAAGTGCTGGGATTACAGGCGTGAGCCGCCATGTCCGCCCTGTTTACTCGGTTGTCTGGAGTTGACAGGACAGTCCTGAGTCCAGCAGGTGGCAGCTGTGGCCCCTGGGGTGAGCAGGCAGAATGAGGTAGGTGGCAGGAGGGGCAGCTGCCTGGTCTCCCGAGAGGCCCTGGGTCTCTGCTGCAGCCCCTGCCTCGAGGCTTCAGGGTCTACCTGAAGGTGTGTTCTGAGGGGGGTGGTTCCATCCTTGGAGGATCCAGAGGCTGACGCAGGGCTGCAGCACCGTCACTGTCCACACCTCTCCCTGCCTGGTGTGGCTTCCGATGGTCCCTGTTCTCCTGTGCTCAGCTTGGCTCTGGTCAGCTGGGGAGGAGGAGGGGCTCGAGCTCTGAGGCAGGGGTGCTGCGCCTGTACACCAGGAACTGGATGGAGATCTGGGGGGCCGCTGTTAAGGCCAAGCTGACCGGAGACTGGGTTGGACCTACCCCTGGGGGCCTTTGACTCCCTGGAGCTGCCTCCATCACCCTCCCACCCCCACGCTGCAGGTGGGAAGGGCCAGCCTTGAACTCCCCGCCTCTGCCTTAGCTGTGCTCTCCACTCAGAACGCCTACCCGGCTCTTCAGGCCCTAGCCAAACTCCCTCTGCCTCCAAGCCCGGCACCGCCTTCTCCCTCCCGTGGGCAGCCTCCCTTGACCCCAGCCCAGGATCTTCTCGTCCTCTCACCCTGTGGCAACCTGGGTGCTCACCAGGTGGCTGGGCCATTTTGGGGCACAAGAGCCTCAACTTTCACCTCTCACTGCACCCAGCAGGGGACTTAGCAAATATCAAACAAAGGCCATGTTTACTTTCTCTCAGATGAGGCCCAAATAACGTTCTGTCCAGCCGTTCAGCAAACACTTCCTGAGCCCTGACTGACCATGGGTCCTGTGGGGAGTGTTTCCAGATGCCTCACCTTACACAGTATCTCGATGAGACAGCAGCTGTTGACTGAAGAAAAGACACACCAGCACAGAGAAGTTGATGGCATGCCACGTGTCCCACAGCTAGGAGGCGAGGGAGGAGCCAGGACTTGAACCCAGGTTTGTCTGACCAATTCACATTGTGTCTCCACACTCCAGCTCTCATCTGCACGGCCTGGAACACTCCTCTCCTGCCTTTGCCTGACTAGCTTCTCCTTCTCTGTCAGGTCACAGGTCACATGACACTTACAAAGGTCTCTGCTGCCCTCTAAGCAGGACAGCCCCTGGCTAGATGCTCTTGTCATTTGTCTGCAGCTTGGCGCTGCTGCAATGAAGTCATTCTTTTTTTTTTTTTTTTTTTTTTGAGTCGGAGTTTC